GTGATACAGGCATGGAGTCCCTATCACTGACATTTTTTCCCTGTACTGTGTACAGTTTAGCAATTAGAGGTGGTTGTAGCATCTGTCATACATGGAGAGGCTGAGAGATCTGGGATTTTTATCACTGAGAAGGCTGAGAGGGGATTTCAGTAACGTATCTGAACACCTGACAGGAAGGTGTGTGAGTGAAGTCAAGCTCACTTCTCAGTGGTGTGCAGTGGAAGGACAGGAGTCAATGAGCATAAACTGAAATACAGGAAATTCCATTTAAATATAAAACTCTTATAGTATGAGCATGATTAAATGCTGGAGCAGGCTGCCCTGAACCACTGTGGAGTCCACATCTTTGGAGATGCACAAAACCTGACTGGACACAATTCTGAACAACTTGCTGTAGTTGACCCTGCTTTGAGCAGAGGCGTTGGACTCCACACTCTCCAGAGGTCCCTTCTAACCTCAAGCATGCTATGATGCAGGTGGGATAGCATGCCTTGTATTCTATTTCACCTTTTCAGTGGAGGTGGCAGATAAGCTTTTCATATTTTAGCAATGACACATGTAATAAGAAGGGCATAATTTTTCATTCTCACCAAGCAGAACTGTATCTAAAATACCTGCCACAAAGGTTATTGTATCTGGACACCTCTGTCAGGAGGTGTAGGAGCTCTGGGGGTAACTGCCTCATAAAGGCAGAGAAAAGGAGCCTCTACCTCTTCCTATCATCTTTATCACAATGTGTAATTGTTAGACACATGTCAGGTCTGAGCTGGAGATAAGTACTACCTCACAAGTATTTTATGAAGGATGAAAGCAGTTTATAAAAGAACTTCAGGTAAAATTGTTTCTTTCCATTGCTCCCAAGTTTCTTTTCTAAGGCTTCACTTCATTAGTCATCCTATTTATCCTTTTCTCTATTAAAATCATGTGTCTCTGGTAAATGGGTTTTACCTAAATGCATGATCAGAGGATTCAAGGGGCAAACGGCAGCAACATCAGGATGCTCCTCCTTAGTTCTTTGTTCAGAAGTATTAAGTTCCCAATACAGAAGTGCAAGTTTTTGTTTTATTCTGCAAAAGTTCATTTTTCTAAAACAAATATTCTCATTCCATTTGATTAAAACCTTTCTTGATGTATCATGAAAGAATAAGATACTTAACTTTTGTGTTTTTCTCTATGCAGGAGATCAAGTTTTTTCTTGCTATTTGTAGTTTGTTTAACTACACTAAGTCCCTGCTGATCTTGAGGCTTGTGCCAGTATCCCATATTTCTTTTGATGTCATCTTTTCTCTTTTAGGTGAAAGTCATCTTTGGTTCCTTTTTAATGCAGAGGATATCTATTTCTTTAAAAGCCTGCTAGGGAAGGAGTTAAAACACATTTGTAAATTAGTAGTACTATGTGTAAAGTTCCGTGGCTAGTTTTCTTGCAGGTTGCTTTATTTTTATTTATAACATCTGTCCTCCAGTGCAGCTATGCAAAAAATCCCTCTTCCATTTCTGCTTGAAGTGGGGATACATTCTTAAGATATGCATCCTCTATTTTGCTCTTAGGGATTTATCTTTATCCTCATATAAAACTGATTAAAGCATCCCTTTTCTCTTGAGCTAGCTACAGCCTGATTATCTTTGACATCATTATTTTGTTTGTTGGTTTAAAGTTGGTTCTGCTTTGCTGTCTCAAGTTTACCTTTGACTTTCATTTATTTTTATAGAACTAATTACTTTTTAGTGTATTTTACCATTAATGCATTGTGAATGGATTTTTTTAATGTCCAAAAATAGTATTTGTTTCTCATATTTTAACACACACATGCCAGCTTAAATGTACGTGTATATGTAGGTTAGCAGGTCACTCCCATGGGTGTTGGTCAACATGATTTACTGAAGTATTGAACATAAAAACATGTCACTTTGTTGGAGTATGTGCTGTGTGGAACAGGATAGGTGTAGCCTCATAAATGCAATTTTTGGATCCTGTTGTTCTGAAGAGCTTTGGGAATGTTTGTCTTTTTAGATGCACAAATATCTGGGCTTGGCAAGGAGCCCAATGTATGACCTTTGTTAAGTTCCCTTCCTTCAGGCTCTCATCCAACTTTAAAATAATTCCTTTCTTCCTAAAAGTTAGAAAGAATCTCTTTTTTTCTTGGGGGGGCAAAGTAGGGGGAGTGGTC